ACAACCGGCCCTTTGAGTGCAACCATAATGCTAATGTGGCCCACGATGAAATTGAGTTTGACACCCCTGCCCTAAAGAAATGTTCCACGCCTCCTGAAACGCTGCTTCAATTTCTCCTCAAGAGTCATTTTAGATGGTACTTTAATGGTATTACAGTATTGACATAAGATGGGCAATGACACATTTTTGCATTAAAATGTCAAAAAACAACTAGACCTATGTTATATATTTGTTGAGTTTTGTACTTACATTATCCCAAACTTTATAATCATGGCGTCACTCATATGTCATCGGTCTGCCCGAAGTGGTAATAAACGGACTCTTTATACTTTTTTAAAGCCAGCTTTTCGACAATACACATATATTGTGTTTTTTGACTTCATGTTCAGGATACACGTCATCTGACTTCTGGATCTTATCTTCATTTCTCAAAGAAACGATTCAAGCAAACAATGACATCTGCCAAAGTAGGTTTGATAAACATTGATTTGAAACATAACATGTTTTTAATCAGTGTATTTAATTGGTATAATCACCCATTATGTTTGTTTTTAAGAGAAAAAGAGGAATTCAGCTCATAGAAAAAATATCCTCGAGGATAAACAATAAAATAATTCACAAGGGAAACTGACTACTGTGAAAAACTTCCATTATTCAACGCTACTTCACAAAGTCACCAAACTCAATACATAGAAAGATGTCGTCTTAAAATCAAGCCCTAAAATGTTCTACCTTTTTTCCTTTTTGATCATGACAGCCCACAGAAATCAGATTCTAGTTTTACATTACTGCATTTTCTCTTTAAATGTTCTCGTCCATTTCAAACAGTCAGTGCCTTTCTATCCTTTCCGGGTTTTGTTCTTCTCGCTTTCTCTAATCTGCACTCCATCTCTTCTCGCCTCTCAATGGCAGGAAATAGGCGAGTCTTTTATTTTCTTCTTTACTTCCCAGCTGAAGTTGGGCGTGTCGCTTCAGTTTCCTCCCCTTAAAAAAAGAGCCTAGCATGTTCTCTATATATATCTCTCACACAGACCTCACGTCACACCCACAGAGAGAGTTAACTAAGAGCAGGTCAACTTCACAACACCGGATTTTACCACATCAGACTTTCAATTTCTCCATTGGACTCTTCATCTCCAGCAGTGAAGCTGTCGGGTCGGCTGAATAAGATGTCTGAGTGGTGATTGATTCGTGACCTCGTTGCTGTGTGTGGGTCTCGCACTCACACTTTTAACTTAAAAAATACCCTCAGATACATGCACACACAGACTCATATGTTTCATTTAATTTAAATTAGCCTCTTACAATCATACAACCCAGTGTACACCAATTGTACTACATGATTTTTAACAGTATGTGGTAAATGGTGTACATTTATATAGCGATATTCCAGTTTTGGTGACCCCTTAAATCGCTTTGAAATACGAATTACCATTCACATACTTTATTCTATAAAGGCAGAACCTGCCCTAAGGTGCCATCTCAGTAATACTAACATGTACACACACTCACACACATTTACTCATCATTGGCCATGTCATCAGGAGAAATGTTGGCTTAATTATCTTGTCCAATGACACTGCAACATTTTGACTTGACGGGGACCAAACTACCTACCTCCTGAGCCAAACCCGCCCCTTCATTATAATGGATCTATATTAGGACTGGGCAATATATTAGTATTATATTTATTTATTTATAAAATATGTTATATCATTTTTTATTTTGGGTATCCTAAGTGTTGTCTTTCCTTGTTTAATGCAGCAATACAGTTAAGTGATGTAATTTTCTCTATTTACCAGCATTTTCTGTTACGTTCCCCAGATTCTAGGGGATAAAGGAAGTAACAAATAGTATATTCAATCAGGGGGAAAAATAAAGAGAGGAGACTGAATTGTGAAAGCCAGAAGATGTTGTCTAATTACTCTGAATATTCCATTATCTGTAGATTTCATCAAAAATAAAATACCACCATATATGATTTTCTTCATATTCACCCAGCCCTAATTCTTATATGTCTCACATGAGCCTTAGAAAAACTTGCACTCGTCAGCACTCTTCTCCCAAGGGTGACCTCGTAGTACAGATATGAAGCCGACCGTAGTCCTTCATTCTAGCCCACCCTTTTCGCTCGGGTTCCCCTCCCTCCATTCCATCATCCCTCAGTCCTTCCTGTTTCATCTATCATTCATAAATTGAAGGCCGGTCCGCAGTGCGCCTGCTGTGAATGGGTGCTGTGAGCAATAATGACAGTAATCCTAGAAGAAATGGAGGTCACTGGTATTTCCAAGTGTGCCCAGTGCGAGGGGTTAAAGGGGAGCCTCGTCAAATGGGCCCCAGGGTGTAGGCCAATAGAGCAGAGTAGTGGGTCAGTACAAGTTCAAAGGATGAACTTAAAGGCCATAGTGGAATAAACTGTGTGACATTCATAAAGCATAATTATCTTTTTTTAATACACAATAAATAGATGTTCTGATGCCAATTGTTTTATTACACAACAAAGACTAAAAGGGTCAAAGTATGAAAAGCTTAACTGTAATTGCATATTATTTATTTTTGTACATATTCCCTATCATGTCTATTTAAGTCCCATTTCTTGTTTTTATAGTGTCTTGTTGTTTTTATATTGTCTTGTTGTTTTCATATTGTCTTGTTGTTGCGTGTTGGCACCTTGAGTTCATTGTAATTTCGTTGTACCTGTACAATGACAAATTAAAGATCTATCTATCTATCAGAGTGCAGCAGATATTAAATATAGATTAGTTGCGCACAGGCCAACATCATTTTGCCCATGAACAGTAATTCAAGCAAATATGCTTGAAAAGATAGGGAATATTGTAATAATAAATATGCTTGAATATATTAGAAAGGTAGCAATAAATATACAGCAAAAATAGTAAATATATCAGTAATAATAATGTGACGATGATGGGCCTGAAACAGAGCCCTGAGGGACCTCAAAGCTATTTTAATTTCAAATGTGACAATATTGTAGCAAGCATTTTAAATTGGGTTTTGAAAAAATGTTAAAACATATAAACATGCTGTTCTTCAATTTGTGAGGTTTTTTTTCACCAGTGTTGAAGTAAGGGGAGGGAGAGAGAGAGAGATAGAAAAGAGAGAAGAGAGAGAGAGAGAGAGATAGAAAAGAGAGAAGAGAGAGAGATATTTGCGAGTTGCATAAGAACTGGTAAGATAGCAGGGTGTCCCACATAGACTTTACTCGGGCGGGTGGCCCAGGTATATTAACGGCTGCCAAAGTATAATTTGCGAGCCATGTAGGTTTAATTTTTTTAATCCGTCCGCGAGCTCTACCCCTTGCTATCGCGTGAAGGGTCTGCTTTATGCGCTCCGCACAGTAACCCTGCTGCGAGGCATGGGGAACAGTTCATGAGCGTGCTCACTAGTGCACCCCCCCCCCCGTTCATAAAGTCAAGTACCCCTCAAAAGGTCTGGTTTATTTCGTTTTAAGGATGCGCACCAGGGCAAAAAGGTTATGTGCACCCCTGATTATGACCCTGGGAGGCTTTTCATGCAAAACAGATGGCGGAAGTATGGGTATTCACCAAAAGCAAATTAGTGTAATACTCACTGGGGATGACATTTCAAGAAATGACATTTCATATAATTAATCCAATCTCTATAAAACAGGGAAAGGTTCTAAATCATGCATGTCCCTTATCAAAACATTTTGCAATACATTTAGAGAATGTTGTGCAATATGAGGAATACACCCAAAAAGGTCTTTTTACCCAACCACTCATGTTTCCCTTTGTTTCTCTTTCTCCTGCAGACGGTGGATATCCACAAGGAGAAGGTGGCACGTCGAGAGATCGGCATCCTGACCACAAATAAGAACACAGCCCGCACCCACAAGATCATTGCCCCGGGTAACATGGAGCGGCCGGTGCGGTATATTCGAAAGCCCATCGACTACACGCTGCTGGACGATGTGGGACATGGCGTCAAAGTAGGACATTTATTGGTCATTATGTCGTAAAAAATCTATTGTTCCTGTATAAAAAACGGATTTCCGTGCAAGCAAACTTAATCTCAATGCATGAATTGACTTATATTTAAAGCAACCCTAACCCTAGTTTCTTTTTACTATTAAGCTAGTGGTTTTCTAAAAGGCACCTCCACATTATTCCAGCATCACCACAAGCAGAGTGTTGCAGCTAAATACCAAAGTCATTACTTTGATGTATCGTCCTGATTTCCACTGTAAATCTATTTTGCTGGACAGGAAAACACACACTTAGTCGAGTCCACACTCGCCACTTCCATGTGAACAAGCCGACCGTCTCCTTTCATAATTCACTCACCCTGCAGGCCGATCAATACGCTGGCCTTTTAGTTAATTAAGTACAGAAACACCTAGAAATGTTTCAAGCCCTCGCCCGAGTGTTAGACCAGAAGTCTGATCCTGACTGGGGCTGAGCTTTTGTTCATGCCTAGTTACAACTCACCAATGTGGAAATGTGGGTATAGAACCAAGAGGGTGAGAGATCTTGGCCTCTTTGTACCCCAACTTTCTCTATTGAATTGTGGGAACATTTTCTTTCAACCTTTTTCCGGCTCCTTCTTAAATGTTTTATTCTATCTCCCCATGATCCATCTCGCCACCTCCCCTCTTCTTCTTCTCCTCTTTCATACTACAGTCTGTGTGTTGTTGCATGTGCAGACACACCATAATGCGCATTGATTGCTGGTGTCACACATTTCCGCAGTTTGTTTCAGTCGCACTCCTCATCCCACTGTCTGTCTCTATTGAGATAGTGGCTGTCCGCCGATTTTCAGACATCCGCTGATTTAATTCAAAAAGCCAGTGTTCCCTCCTCAGAGAGCTGGCTCACACTAAGGCGGATTTGGCATGGCCCACTATGCAAATGAAGCATCATTCATGGATGCTGCGGATGATTGATCTGTGCAGAAATCAGAGTAGATCAGACCAGAAGCTGGAAAATATACACATGCATAGAAAACAGCCGATCATGCTGCCAATCCTTAAGAAAAACATGACTCAGACATCTGTGAAGTGACTTATTTTGAGTCTGGGATAGGGTGGTGCAGAAATGAGTTCTTAACTTGAAAATAAGTTAGCATTTTTGCACTTCCAAGCTTCCTTATCTGTAAGTGAATGGTTTTTTGAATGGGTTTCTAGTTAGAGGCCGCAAATAAGGTATGTGGTTAACGCAAGCCAACAGATTTTCATGTTTTTCTCTACTCCGGTTATCGAATGAAGTCAATGCGACCGTTAACTATCTACTTCCGACAAGTATCATAAACGTGTTTGTGAAAAATATTGTAATCTGCAAAATCCAATGGAAAAATCCCATTTCTTTTTGTCAAGATAACGCTTGCGATTCTAACTATTCGGTCAGCCCACATACGGAAGTCATCACTGCACAACTCTATAGGATAGCACCTTACATTTGATCAAGTTTGGTTGTTTTTTGACGAAGGTCAGATCATAATTTTAGCCAGGAAGAAAACATCTGAGGACTTGTGGTTGGTTCCTTTGAAATTCTCTGTGATTTTCTGTCTGGCTTTGTATGTGTTTTATGTGTCTGTGGCTGAATTTCTGTTCATTGATGTGCATTTGTCTGGCTGGGTACAGACGGAAATGCATATCCATATTTCCCCCCAGAACACTTTCTCTCTCACACACAACAGTGAATAATTCATAAGGACTGATATTATTTCATACTCACGACTGCATAAGACCCTAGTGAGAAGAGTACAATATTCTGAGAAGTATATTAAAGCATTGTGCGTGGGAATGTTTGTCTGTGTTGTTGCTTTAGTGTGCAAGTTCAATACCATCTTATTAGCAGTCTATTTCCTCCTGGCATTTGTGGATTTCCCTCGAGGCGTGATTCCCTCCCCTTTTGCCTTTCGTCAACATTACCGGGGGAACTGGCCCATGGATAGATGGGAAGTCAGACTCGAGCAGGGGAAAGACCCATTCACACATTTACGGATGACTGTGCTCACCCCCTCCACCTTAACAGCCTTTATTGGCATTACTGGCAGTTACCGGGGCGACATGGTTTCAGCCCCATTACAGCCTGAACACCTCACTGCTGTTATTTATGACCTCGCCTTACTTTACTGCCCTTTTTTTCTCCAACACTTTAAGCCTCAGCATAACTACTTGCTGGTCAGGTACTGCTCATTATATCTAGTGTGTGTTGCTATTTAAGGGATTCTTATTCTGATTACAGTCAATAACGCAAGTCTAGACACTGACACAGAGTAAAGTCACACACACACACACACACACACACACACACACACACACACACACACACACAACATGCAGGTGTCAGAGTTTGAATAGAAAACATAGAAAAATAATCATGAGCCCAGACCGAGTTTGTTTTTACAGATAATATGACAAATATTGATATTGATTGATTTTTTACAGACTGTTTTTCACTCCTTTTCTGTACTCACCTACTTTGTTGTTTATTAAGCTTTTTTTTAAAACTTTTTTTGTAACTGTATATCAAAATGTAATAATGAAAAATAGGTTCATGCATACTGCTTAAAATTCCCACTTCCTTTATATTAACTAAACCATTAACCAATGAGCATGTCTTGTTTTCTGTCTTCCCTTTTACCCGCTTGCACTCAGTGGCTTAAGGCCAAGGTAAGATATAGTTATGTTTATCTTCTTGTGTTAGTCATGATACAACTCCTGCTAGTCTTTCATTTATACAAAAATAAACAATTATATCAAATGTTAAAAATACGAGTTAAGGTTTCATGGAACAAATATGATTCCAGAAAAGGCTAATTTATTACAAGGAAACAAAGCATATGATTATACAGAATCTCTATTTTTCCCATTTCACTTTAAGGTCACAAACTTGATGTGAACATTTACCATAAGTGTACTATCGGTTCAACTTCAAAATGTGAAGTTATTAATCTTTACAGACTTCTATGTCCTTTTTATATTTTCATACCAATTTACATCCTATTTTCCATGTACAATTTCTCCATGATTACTCTTGTAACACAAATTGAAGTGTAGCTAGGCCATTAAAGGTTTAAGTGACTCCTCTTACAGTGGTGTAATCATTGGCATGGTAAACAAGGATGACAGCCGCTATGATTATACAATATCAATGTTTAACTTGTCTTTGCTCCTCTAGCAACATGGGAACAATGCAGCAGGACGAGGAGGGACACTTTCCAGGACCACCCCACCCACACAGAAACCCCCGAGCCCCCCCATGGCTGGTCGTGGTACACTAGGGTAAGAACATACAGCTAGCAAGGGGCAGGCAGTACCTCAGTCTTGAGGGACTTGGTTTGGGAACTGGACGGTCATAGGATGATCACCAGATGGTCACAGGTTGTGTTTTGGGTTCATGTCCCTGTTCTGATGGGAAAAAATATTTTCACCTGCCTAGGTGTCCTTGAGCAAGGCACCAAATCCCAAGTACTCCACGGTGTCAACGATGGCAGCCACTTAACTCTAACACCTCTCTAATAAAGTATTTTGGGCCTTATGTGTGTGCTTTAGTGTTTTGTAGATATGTGCAAGAATACTAAATACGGTATATTCCTTCACATAACGAAACATTTGTTATTTAGTTCTTCTTCATTCTACCTCTTATAAATTATGTTAATACTGTCAGTTTAAGACAATTCTTACATTTCACAATGGTTGTTTATAACGCCAGGACCACCTGACCATGGTTCCATAAACAGTGTCTGTAAAAACCAGAAGTGGACCCTCTCAACTCATGGAAACATTGAGAATAAACGGTGTCCTCTTTGGCTCTGTTTATATCTGTTTCCAGGCGTAACACTCCCTACAAGACCCTGGAGCCAGTAAAGCCTCCAGTGGTGCCCAACGACTACATGACGAGCCCCGCCAGACTGGGCAACCAGAACAGCCCTGCACGCACAGCCTCGCTCAACCAGAGGCCCAGGACCCACAGGTAGCACACACACTCTGTCCTTATACCTGCATTTAACACAGAGTTAATGTACCTGGGAAAAACATTTATTATCACTAGGTATTTGGACAACTTTCTACTCGGATGAAAGCAACGCCATACACGCCAATAAGTGAATATCAGGGATGTAATGCACCTTATTACATTGGCTTAACTACTGCACTTAGGTAACATGGTTATTTTCAATTATTGACTTGATTATTGTCTTTTCATGTCATTGTATACCTCTTAGAAGACGCTTTTATCCAAAGCAACTTACCGTAATTTTCGGACTATAAGCCGCGCCTTTTTTCCCATTTTTCGACGCTGCGGCTTATATAATGGTGCGGCTAATCTATGGATTTTTACAGCTAACGACCACTAGGGGACCTCCTAAATCTATGGATTTTACAGGTTACAGTCCACCACCTTTAACTCTATGGGCTTTATGGCCGCTCCGCGCCCCCCACCTTTAAGCGGCGGGCTCCAGCAGGAAAAGCTGGAGGCCGGAAAAGTGTGAGACAGGTAGCGTGCAAAAGTAAAAGTGGAACCGAGAGTGGTACGAGAGACAGAACGAGAGCAAGACAGACAGACATTACGAGAGCGAGACAGTTTGTCCCCGTACCACTGGTTGAAAACCACTGCTGTAGATCACTGCCGGTAAGTGCGCTGGGAGCGCACCGTTTAAGTTTGAAAGTTGAAAAGTTTGTGTGTCTGAAACGCTATGTGATACAGTACAGTTTACACAGCACAGCACATGTTCTGTAGCTACTATTGCACTAAATGGTAACACTTGAATACGTTATGCAAATATGCAACTTGTTTGTTGAAATGTTAATAAATGGGAGCTTCCTCAAACAGCCATCTCTTTCCCGACAATCCCCTCTGTGCACAAACCCTTACATATGGTAATTAAACATTAAAACACCTGCGGCTTATAGTCCAGTGCGGCTTATATATGTACACATCATTCAATTTAGCTGCCGCGGCTTATATTCAGTTGCGCCTTATAGTCCGAAAATTACGCTACATACACTTCAATACATTAGTCGTGCCTATGGAAGCAATTTAGAGTTAAGGAACTTGCCCAAGAACACTTTGAATAAACTACCAGGCCATTCTACACCCTGCATTTGCAAACTATCCCACTGCTGTTTTCAATAATGCCTTACTATTAATTAGGGATAAACGTCCCTAAAAATGCAAATTACTCCATTGCACACATTATATCTTACGGGATTTTATTGTGAAAGCATCGTTTTTTTCTTGTATCTGTATTGCTTGTGATAAATACACTAATATGTAACTCAAAAGTATCATAAAAAATAAATAATTGCATTTAAAGGCAAAGTGTAATTACTCCTGCAGTCTTAGTTTTTGGGTTTGGAACTTGATTCCTCAAAACAAGCCTTGGCTCTCGTGGTGTTTTTGTTACACTGTGTAACTGCAAATGTGACTCCCAGATCTGTGCCCAGTACTCATGTGTGAATGTGCCAGACGGTGCATTCGCAGGAACTGCAAATCTGTTGCCACAGTGACAAGAGTACGAGACAGAATGACATATGAGAGAGTAATGGTATTATGTATAATGCTGTCATGTAATTAGGTTTGTCTCGCACATAATGATCACCACATTGACTCTTCTTAAATGTGTCTTTCTCCCTGCAGTGGCAGCAGTGGTGGCAGTGGGGGCAGGGAGAACAGTGGAAGCAGTTTAGTCGGTATCCCTATAGCAGTTCCCACCCCCTCCCCTCCCAGTATGGGGCAAGGTGAGTCCCAGCAGCCAGACACATTCATTTGTCCTCTAATGGCCTCAGTTGTCCACTCTGGTCTATTCTTGTCCTGAGCATTTTCTCTCACGCAAACATGATCTCATTTATCAGGTCAAACAGAAGGGAATCAATTCTGGACTGACAACACTATTAATAATACAATAACATGTCATACGAATGTACCGCTATCAAATATTTAATTAGTAAAGACATTCATTTAGGGAATTCAGGTCGGTAGATTATAGGCAGATAATAGCAAATTTATGCTTTTGTTGTTTTTGTTGTTATTATAAGTAGTGTTAGTATTATTATATCCGATAAATGTTAGCTATTAGCTGTCATGGGCAAACAAGTATATTATCTCAACACAATAACAGTTTGCAAATCAAGGTTTTTTATGTATTTAAAGAAAAAGAACAAACATTTGAAGAGTCAAAACTGTTCCTTATGTTTGTTCTTAAAAGTTAGATTTGGTTAGTAGTATTACATCATCCATCTTTGTTAACTACATCTTACTATCAGTAGTGCATTAACTAAGTTATTAGATGGTTTCAAATACAAACATTAAAAAAATCGTGTTATCTTATCTGGAAAACATTTCTTAATCTAACTCCTTGAAATGTGGACTGAATTTACCTTAACTTAATGTGTACCCTTTGCAGGAAGATAAGGAAGAAAATTAGAGCAGTGCATAAATGTTTTTTATTAAAGGTTTTTTTCTTTTTTTATCTCTTAAGCCCTGTAGTGTTTGCAACCTGAATTTAAATGCTCTTATCATTCCAGCAGCAGATTATTATTTTACTCACAGGCTGCATGGAAATAAAGTGAAAATGTATGTCCAAACTACTGATAACCTTCTAAGTAAGTCGGCACTTAAAACGACTTATCATAATGAGGTTTTTTAACGTCCTCTCCTGCAGTGGTGACATCCTCGGCCTCAGTGCCTCAGGGCCCCGGCCTGGGCCCCATTCCAATGTCCCAGTTCGGCACCATCTCCCGCCAAATTTCCCGCCACAACTCTTCCACCACCTCCTCGGCCTCCATGGTGTCGGCCACCGGCACTTATCGCCGTGCACCATCCGTCTCCTCCCAGCAGCCCCACATCAACGGGGGCCCCGCCTACCCTCAGAATCCAGGTAACTAGGATGAAATACCTTCTTTCTTCATGTATGTAATAAATGGTCTGCTTTACTAGATGGTTTGTATTTTGGAATAGTTCTATCTATCTAATTTGATAAAACTATGGATGTTCAATGTGTCGTTATTATATAGATATAGTGATATGAGTCTTATCATCTTAAAATGTTGATATCCACATTTCGCATTAAGTCTAATTATTATTATTATTTTTACTTATTTTAACTCATTGTTTTTTTTTGATCTCTTGTTTTGTTAAGCACTTTGGGCTGCACAAAATGTGCCTTACAAATAAAGTTATTATTATCATTATTATTACAAATAATAATGTTATACAGTCCATTCTTGGCATCTTTCAGTTTCACTCCACTGCTTGAATCTCAATCTCTGGGTCTAAAAGATATTGCATGGGGCTAGCTCTTCCTGAAGCTAATGAAAAATAATTATGAACCATAATTAATGAAGTCGGGGTCGCTGAACCCCCCTCACCTCAGCACTGCCTGCGCCCTGCAGAGTCTTTCATTAGCATCTGTAATTGAGTTATCACCTTCGGCAGCTGCAGAAGGCTTCTTGTCCAGGAGAGACAGGCAGGCAGGAGACACAGAAATAGCTGCTAGACAAGGGGAAACCCAGGACACGGGCATATTTTCTGTCAGAATTTCTTTTGGCAGGCATCACTCTGAGACATTCTCCTCTAATGGCTTCTCCCTCTCAAAGGACAAGCGTCTTGCCTGGCACAGAAAGAAGAGGCTGTTCGTCCGAGAGTAGACAATAATGCAGAGGACTTTAACTAGGACATAGTTATCTCTGTGATGTCTACTCATTGGAAATGTATCCAAAGAGACAAGATATGTTTCGGGTTAGGAGTTGTTAACACAAACGGGTAGTTCTGGTACACGAGGGAGCTCATTGATGGATGGATGGATGTGGCTCTGCGTTGAGAGCAGGGTGGAATAATAAGACATGACTGCCCAGCCAGATTAGAGACGCCCTTCCATTACGTGTGATTTATGAGTCAGACCTGCCGTGTGTGTGTGACGTCATGTCTTTGAGCGAGGACAGCTGTGTTTCTCTTTGTTTGTCTGTTCTAAGGCTGGGCGATAGAGTGATGAACATTTTTGTAGGCCAAATTGAAAGTTAGCATTGACTCCTGCAAAAAGCAATGAGATTTTTCCATTTCCGAATAAGATCAGTGGCAAACACAGGTTCATGTTAGCTAGATGTTTTTTTCAGCATGACAATCTCATGATCTTTAAAGCTTAAATGTAATCCCCAGACGTCAAAGGCTAACGTTAGGCTATAAACAAAATACATCACTGCTGCACGTGAAAACCACTAAGCTAAAGGCAGCTAATATTTAGCATGACAACGCTAATTATTCTAATTTAGTCACTGGTCGGCCACTGCCATTTTTACATAAACCTGAAAACACCTTAAAAAAAACGTTGACTTTCAAAACCAAAAAAAACGAAACTGTAAAAAGCGAACTAATTTCATGGTTTTAGAACTCATTCCTGAACAACTATTATATATCTAATATCAATATGGTGATAGGAGGCTAGATATCATCTTAGATATTGGGTTTGTGTGGTTCAACTTTACAACTTGTTCTACATTATCTGTTTTATAATCTGCTTTTCCCACTAAGTCATTCAATCCACATTGCGGGTAATTATTAATAAACAAAAATTATTATTGTTATTATTTTGGGGAAAAAACGAATATTAATTCCTGGAATATTGCAGCGGTATTGAGGTATTTGGTTAAAAATTGAAAATAGTAATACTTCATTTTTCATATAGCATTAAATCAGATTACCAGAGCTCTACCTGGAAATGCTTTTTTCCCCTTAAAATATCACATGTTTCTGCTTTGTTATTCCTACCACACACCTACTAAGCTGTCACCTTGCTTTGCAGTCTTTCCACTGCAGCAGACACCTATTACTAGCTAAAGCTTTTTGCTTTTGACATAAAAAAGGGATGCTGATGAGGTGGATTCTCAGACGGAGATGAGATGAATGCCTCTTTAGCCCAGCTTGAAGAAGGCATAACAAAAGAACACTGATTGGAAATGTGTAAATGAGTTGCTCAGCAATGCTTCCTGCACTGTTTCGCTCACTCACAAGCTTTTTGTGTCTTTTTTCATCCTCCTTTCTATCCCCATTCCCCGTTTGGACTTGATCTCTTCTCCATAATGTCTATTTGCTCTATCCCTCCATCACTCTCTGTCTCTCTGCTGCTTTGTTGCTGCTCCAGTGTCTGTGGCTCCTCCACCTCCTCCTCCCATGGTGCAGCTGACCCCACAGATCCCTCTGACCGGCTTTGTGGCCAGAATGCAGGAGAGCAGTAAGTAGAAATAAATCCATACGGAGAACATGTGCATGCACTTAGAGATATGCATGCAGATATATGCACACTCTCTGGTGGAAAATAACTGCTGTGCATTTCAGGAAATCTCATAATGCTTCCATAAAGAAAATCCACATAGTTACACTTCACACAATTTCAGGATAAAATAATAATAGGCAAATTCACAAGAAATGTATTGTGGATGCTTATAGCACTACGAATTGAATACGTCGTATACATTATATTATATATACGTAGGCATGTTTGAGCTCTCTTCCTACTGAGAGCTCAAGCATGCTTATAAGGTTTTGCAGCCAAGTGCAATTTTTACCCTTTTTTATTCTAATGGGATTATGCAAAACAACTGCAAAAAAAAAAATGTTTTCAGGCTCACAGCACAGGATTTGACTAAGAGGTGCAGAGGCATTTTTCAAAAGTTCAGTAAATGAGTTTGAAATAGAAGGGATACAATTAAAACATTTTAATAAATCCCCCTCTGTCCATGCTGTTGGTATTTTTTATTTAAAGAGCCCTTTTCAAGCGCTTTCCAATGTTAATAAATCCAAAACGCATAAGCAATACTTTTGTGACAATTGCAAGTGTAAAATAACTTAATCACAGTAGATTGCATAATTAAAAGCGTGACTTCGCTTACAAAGGTGCCAAAGCTACCTCAAACTCTCCGGAGACGCTTATCATTTCTGCGTGTTGCAATTAGTGAGAATTGTGCCGTTTCTGAAATGAGGCTCATTTCCATAGAAAGGGGTGAGTTTTGTATTCAATATTTGCACATGCCCTGTTTTTAGTAAACACAAAAAGCACAGGAGATCCAACATGCTTTTCACTTGGCGGCGCAGTCAGGGTTCAGGGTTCAGTCAGGATCAGGTGCTTTGAAAATAATAAAAAATGTTGTCTCATTAGTAAAGGTTAACGGCCACACATGTGCAATCCTTTCTTGAATTTGCCCTTTAATGTATTATATTTCCTCAAAATCAAGACCATTTACTGACCATAAAGTGAAAATAATAAATACATCCACATATGTAAAAAAAGTGACATTGATCATCACCAAAGAGTTTCCTTTCAACCCCTCTTATCAGGGCTCTGAACACACTGCCTCACTTGCACATCTTCTCTGTGGCTCGCTACACTCGGCACACCTTCTCTCGCACTGTATTTCAGGGTCGAGTGGGAGCTCACGGCACTCGGACGACTGTCTGTTGCCATGGCGATGGGTCACTAAAAGCTGTCCTCTCTGTCCACTGAGGAGAGAAAATGTGACCTGATGCCGTGTCCTGATTCTCCCCCCCCCCCTCTAACTGTCTGTAGACGTCTGGTCAAACGTATTGCAGGCTGCCACACTTATACACCACTGCATATCAGTCACGCAGTCCAATGAAGAGTAGATTATCCCTTTAATCTTCAACCAGTCATTTACAGTTTTATACAAAGGATTGAAATCAAATCCATCAAGCAGTTTACCGTTATTTGTTGCTAGTTTGTGTAAAATCTTTCTTAGAAGAGCCCCTCTGGCACACAGGAAGTGAAGTATTTTACATTTCTGCATTAGAAAAAGGATTCATATGTAAATAGAAGGAGAGATATAAAGTTCAACAGTAATTTAAATAAAGGCATAAGTGTCACAGTTCAAATGAACCCGCTGAAAAGACATCAACAAAAAGAAGCTAATTTTGTTTATTTAGAATCAATATTTTTCCTGGTAGATTGTCTTTCAGTTCATTTCGGAATAAAATAAAAATAAAAATAAAAATATAGATATAAGAAGTTCAAGTAAAAATGTGCAAAAAGAAGATACAATTCAATATATATATATATATATATATATATATATATATAGAATACACATTTGAAATATATATATAATATCATATAACATAATTGTTCAAGAAGATAAGTACAAATGTGCACAATGTACTACAATAAATTACAACGATAAAAGTATCAAAATATGAAGCTATTTAACAATGGATAACACTCACCAAAAGGTACCAACACACGCTTATCAAATTGTTTTTTAAATAGAGGATGTCTTTGTAATTTTCTATGATTAAATGTATTGGTAAAAAAGTCCTTTCCGACTACAATTTGCCCAGACCTTAACGGGGTAATGGATGGACTAATAAAATGCCAGACAGCTCTTGTTATATATTTTAACATCTTCAGCGTTAAACAGATTTAAAGTCAGTTGTTAGACCATCGGTAAAAAAGGGTTTAGAATGGAAGGGATGCATTCTATTCTGGTGCAGTCTGTTTAAGAGCAGGGTTATGAATGAGTTAGTTAAGAGGTGTCGTTTGTGTTTTATCGCTGGACTTTTGGGTGTTATCCTGCAGGGTGACTCACAAGCTGACATGTTTAAAGACATAAGACTGGAGCACCAGAGGGAGGGTCAGAACCTAGTCAAGCTTTTCATATCCCACTTGATATAGCACTTGTAATTGTGTGAACAAGCCTTCAGCCTTCAGACACAGAGACACCCTGCCTGTATGAGTAAATACACACATCAAGGGGATATTCAGGGTGGTTTTGTTCTGCTTAAAACGCCACTGCTAATACTTTTGGGGGGAACTGGAATACAAATGATACAAGTTTGGGAATGTCTGAACAGGAGGCCATAGTAAAAGAGGCTTTAAACATTCTTGATGAGAATTTAGAAAAAAATTGGGTTTTGAGTTGCTCCATTTAATATCAAATCAAATCAAAATATTTACATAAAAAATGTTGCAGCTAAAGATTCAACTGGCAATTTATTTTATTTATATATTCATCTTAACATATGTTAAGTAAAAAAGATAAAATACAAAAATAAAATATTAAAAAATGTGAAGAAATTAAAACATCCCCTACGGTACAATAGTTTAAAAAACATTATATCTATTAAAAAGGTAAAAATGTTTATTATATAGTGGGAAGAAGCTTTTAACCAGCAGTTTGACCTTTTACTTTACTCACCCATGTTATCTTGAATTCTTAAATTATTTTCTTGCATGCCTCCACAGTGACCCGAGAATTGAATGAGGAATAAAGTCTTTATATAGTGGTGTGTAATAGGGGCTGCTTTAAACAACAGCAAAAGATCAAAACATATGATTACAAACCTTCAGACTTTTCTCAGTTCTTTTTATGTATTTCTCACCTTGAAGACATGAGAGAAACAAAGCTTCTTAAAGAATTCAAGGTAACACAGGGTGAGATGTACTAATGTGAATACATGCAAATAAATGAACTATGAGTGTTGGACTCAATGACCTCAGTATTTTTTTAAAATCCTGTCCATGTCCTCTCAGTTATAGCAGCAGGAGTAGAAGTAGTAGTAGTATTATGTAGTGATGGTATTAGTAGTAGCTGTAGGACTGCGGTAAAGACGAAAAAGTGTCCTACGCTGCCCTCTAGTGGACAAATAAAGGTCCACAGTAACAGGGTTCATCAAGTTTTCTGTCCGTTGACATGATAGATTTCAATATAGACAAATATTTCACAATATGTATGCTACTTTAAAGTCTAGAACATTATTTTACTTATATTAGTTCTTACTGACACATAATACTCATTGTATAAATAAATAAAAGATTCTCCATCTCTGCTCTCTGTCCTATTGCAGTAACAGACAGCCCTGCCCCGCCTCCTCCGCCTCCCCCAGAGGATATTGTGGGTGTGTTTGAAGAGCGCTCTCCCCCTCCTCCTCCCCCACCTGCGGACTATGAGGACGAGGATGCAGCGGTGGTTAATTACAGCGACCCCTACGCTGACGGAGACCCCCAATGGGCCCCCAAGATTTATTTAGAGAAAGGTAAATTACTTTTAAAGACACTTTTATTTTTCCTCCTCTTCATTAAAAACACTTCAAATCTTAAAGTTTAATTTGGTGACAATGATAATTTGTTTTTATCATATTTTTTATCATATCATATTTGCTAAAATTCTCACCTAATGAAACAAAAAGTAAATGTCTGTTAGTCTTCCTCTTGATAGTGCTTTTAATGTCACAGTTTACTATATCCGCCACTGCATCAAACCACTTCTGTTTGTTTGGATTTGTTCCCAGTTGTGGCCATCTATGACTACAGCAAGGACAAGGAGGATGAGCTGTCCTTCATGGAAGGGGCCATCATCTACATAATCAAGAAAAACGATGACGGCTGGTACGAAGGCGTCGCTAACGGCGTCACCGGACTATTCCCAGGAAACTACGTTGAGGCGATCATGCACTATGCTGACTAAAAAACATACAACACAGTTTTGAAAGGAGGTTAAAATGAACTTTAGACGTAATGCACTTCATACAGCCCCCATTTTGAATGAAGTGCCATTGTGGATTTTCAAATGGTTTTATTTTTGGGGGGTTTGTGCTTGCACGGTTTTGTTATACTCCCAAAAAAGAAAGTGTCGCACAATGAAGGAGCTAAAGCTTCGGACCAGGGTCTGTTAGTTTACACTGTTCATGAAAGGGAGGAGATTAAGGCCTTTCAGATACCACTGTTACGGCCCGTCCACACAGCGGCGTGGGTTGAAGCTTCAACGCTTCTGCCGATTCACTTTGAATGAGGTAACGTCACGCATCACCGAACTGCATTGTGGGAGTGAAGCGTAGCTTTGCTCGCGTTGCTCGCTGCAAAAGTTGAGCAATGTTCAACTTTTGAAGCTTCGACAGAAGCGTCAGCCAATCGAATCATATGCCAGTACAAGCTCTAGCCAATCAAACCGCTGCTTGTGTGTCCGGGGCAGGAGATTCAGGTGATTGGTTGTTGGTCTAGCTTCAGACATGCCCGCCGGCAAGCGACAACGCACGCCGCTGTGTGGATGGGCCGTTACATCTCTGGTGGTCTGTAGCAGTTTAAAGGGGACATATCGTGTTCGTTTTCAAGTTCATTCATGCACTTTGGGTTTCTAGTAGAACATGTTTACATGCTTTAATGTTCGAGAAACACATTTTTTTCTTCGTACAGCCTGTGTAAAGATACCTGAATTCACCATCTGCCCGGAACACCCCGTTTTGGTGCCTGTTTCTTTAAGCTTCCTTCCCGAAAAAGCCCAGTCTGCTCTGATTGGCTTGCGGGAAAATATTGTAATGGTAGTTCTCAAGCCAGTGTGGATGGGGGTTGGTGTTTTCTAATGAGCATGAATGTGAAAGTTCGTTGATTGGCACTGATAAAGCTTTTCATGATATGTCCCCTTTAGAAGTCACATTTAGCCTCAAAAGAAATTACATAATTTAAAAAAAATGGCAAGTTAATTTAGATTTAGTGTTAATTTGCCGCCAACATTTTCAGTATTTAGAGTATGCAGTAGATCCAGACAGTGAAGTGTTGCGAGGATTTCACGAATAGATGAGGCAGTATCGCATTTTTAGGATAAAATGCCGCGCATATGCTCCTAACCCTTTATTTGCACTGTAGACCAGCAGACCAACTCCTCCCTTCCTTAAAAAAACATCCATCTTACCTTAAAAAAATCACCCGAAAAAGGACAAACAGACATCAACAAGTGCATTAGGACACCACTGAATGTTCAATGCCGTCGATGTCCGAATCACAAGATTTTTAAGGTGGAACAAAAGCAACCTTGTGTTGTGTACTTACTATGCTCTGTGTCAATGGGGATGCTGTTAAAAACTGAGTGTATAGAATGCATTACAAAAAAAAGACAGTTTCTTGTTTCTGTTCTCTAACTTGTATATAAACTGTAACGTGAGAAGCTGCCAATAACAGTACATTTGTCACTTAGTGTGTTTTCACCTGTTTCCATCCGTGCAGGTGATGGCAAGATTGGATGCCATTTACATTTTTTATTTAACTTGAATATAAATTCTATTCATCACTCACAGTGCCATTTTTTACTTTATCGTGGCAAAGTGGCCGTGTATAAACAGTTATTTTTCTATGTTCCGTCACACCTATATCCTTTTGGTCACTTATTCTGTGATGCTGTCCAGCTACTGTAGCAGAGCTTCTAAACACGAAGCAAAGGAAGGACTAAACTGTTTGTTTTCAAGTTTTTTTCCCATTGCGTTTGAATAGCTGCACTGATCAGGTTAACCGTAATGACTTCATGATTTCCGGCATTGCAAGAGTTGCTTACAGAAGTATCGGCTAACCTTTACATGAGTGGTTTCTGGTGAGGGGCTTTACATTGGTGCTCAAACACCATTATCACCAACACACACAACCTCAAACCGAGACTTCTCTACACACTGTAAACATAACAAGTGATGTTAGCGTAATTTCTTCGTTGGAAAAGGTAAACATCCATCAGATTTGATTGTAATCGTCTTCAATCACCTCTAGTGAATGTAGGCAACCCAGCAGTAATGTAAAACTAAAGTTTGTTTTTGTCAATGTACACCCAGAAACAGATACAAGTCTGCGCTACAAATGAATGACACTTGCTAAACGCAGTGATTTGCAATCCAGAGGTCTTACAAACAGTGCCGATATGAAGACTTCTGTGCTGGTTTCTGCTACTTTTTCAAAGTAAACTGCCTGCTCTTACAAAGTGATTGTTGTTGCAAGTAAAACCCGCCGTCATATATCATCAAAGCTAATTGTTATTTTTTAATACATGTTTGTAACAAGCCACATAAACAAACATAATCATGTACTATGAGAATAACGGGCATTGAACACACTTTTATTTTGAAATGGATACAGACAAACCAAAATACTTCAGTATTCATTGGGCCTTTGTGCATGAAAGTATCTGAACGTCGTAACAGTGAATGATTTGCCACTACATCCCATTATGATTGTATTTATTCCATCATGAGGTCATTTTTTGTGAAAACTTTTCTACCTAATGTATTTCTAGCTTTGCATTCAACTTGTTTTTGTGTCTGCTGAGGAAGGTTTGGATATAGCAGTTTGTATGTAAAGGATTAATTTATACTTTTTTCATAGAGAAATCATGAGACAACCACTGACGTGCAGAAATTTGTAATGTTTACCACTTAAAGTTTCGCATTTCAGGGCATCACAGGTCAAGGCGCATTTCTTTGATGTGTGTTTTCTTAACGATGAAAAGTAGGGTGGGGGGGGAATCTGTAACTTAAATGTTCATGGGAACAGAATCCAATATTTGTCTTCTCAGTTTGTACATAGGATGTGTTCATTGCAATTTATGTACAGTCTTTTTGTAATAAACAGCTCATTGAAACAATGAACGAAATTAGGTTTGGAGTGTGTCGTAAATGTGCGAAAAAGGTATTACTTGTAAAACCATACACAAATAAATATCCTCATACATATGGTATTAAATTAAATCTGTTCTTTTGCATTATGACATGTAAGGTTTCTCCTATGTGCATTACAGAAACGTGATATTATTGGCACCAAGTTAACAATTTTTCCGGATTTGTGTTTTCCAATCAATTAATCCAAGCTAACTGAAGGACACCTTAAACTTGTGTGTGTCCAGGAGGTGGAGGAGGGATGAAGTCAGGCGGTGCCTCGTGTGGGTAGTCTTCAACATTTGTAGTTTGGGGTGGAGCCTGTTGCGTGTTGACCTGTGAGTTATATCTGTCTGTAGAGACAATCGAGTGAGAAATTGAGTGAGTGTTATTCTATATTTAAAAAATACTGCTTTCCTACAGTTTTCTCCCTGGCACCAGTAACACGTCTTAAGAAGGGATAGAGTATATAATTCGGCAAGCAAAGAAAACAATTAAATTGAGTCAGATGCCAGCCTGACGGCAGTTTCTAGAGCTTGTTTAATAAATACGGTGGCTTTGAGGTAACGTAAAAATGTTAAGTGCCTTATCTAGTGCCGGAAATTGGTTTGTCCATTCTGGGCTGCTGTTTAATCGGTAGTTTTAAGAGATTTGGTCACGGTACAACTGGAGCAAAGGGAAACCAAATGCAGGAGACAGACCCTTATTCCTTTACGCAATACAAGGCAAGGCACACATCATTTTACAAGCTTTGATATACGAGGATCCAACAAGACTAACAGAGGACCAAAATACAAGTAGAACTAATCACATAGACAAGACACAGCTGGAGAGGGCAGGCAGAAAAAGGGCAGCATGGTGATTACACACAGGTGGAAAGAATCAGGGCGGGGCAGACAATCACAAAAAGGCGGGAAACACAAAGACAGGAAGCAAACCCAGAAATGACAAGGGGAGAAAACGTTTTTCTTTTTTAAAACATAATGATATACATTTAATTTCTGCTAATACCATACACTGGCTCTTTAAATGCATGAAATTCTCTGAATGTTAGGTTTATTGTTTTTAGATTTAACAATAAATACCATGCATGCAAATGTTTTATTTTTAGGTTGAGTTCCAAATAGCTCAAGTTGCCATACCGACTTCCGAGGCCTGCTATTGGATGACTCAATGCTTGGAGGACGGCCTTTGTGAAAGGATATAATTGTTTTTTATTTAACAAATTGTTAAATGAATAGTAAGTTCAAACAACACTGCTGTTTGAACTTAATATAATAATCAAACATAAATGTTGCTAAATTTAACTTTTATTTTCTTGATGTAAATTCAGTGATAGGCTAGTGAGTGTTGCGGCCTGCGGACAAGGGTGCCCAGCAACTATTTGATTATCCCGAGAAAAATTCTAAAAGGATTAACAATGGGAATTGATTTGAATGTAAATGACAAGACACAAACGTATAAAAATGGGAAAAGTGAGATAAGTATCGCGGTTTGAAGTCCTATTTTTTGTGTTTATCTAGCGGCCCTGTTGTGACGTGTAGACTCACCTTTGTGTGAAGCAGAGGGGTGAGCTCTCTTCATCGCAGCCTGGTAGTTCTTATACAGGGTGGTCCCATACTGAACACACATAGGACACACACATGTTTAAGTCTTTGACAATGTTGCAATCTCTATATTTGCTATTTCTGTGCATAGAATTTTCAAATTTGAAATTGACTGTCATATAGATTTCTAATCTAACTGCCCACATTAAAGTGATTTTTGTTGCAGTGTTGAATCTGACCTTAGCTATCCTGATGGAGTTGACCCAAAGCAGCAGTGTGTGCTCATCATCACAGCACAGGAACTTGATGTAGTCAGACTCTTTCTGGATGCAGGGATGCTGTGAAAGAGACAGAACCGTGATGTTTAAAGGAAATACCATAATTTAGTATTTTACTTCCATAAAATTGTATGACTTGAGAGGCATATTAAAAGAAGAATTGTCAAAACTGATACAACACAGGCCGAGATCTCCCAAATCTGGATCAAACTGTGGTAACGCTGTGTACTACACTTCCCATAATGCAACTCAGTAGTGTCTTTGGTAGATTCTTCCTTCTTGGTAAATGCTAACATCCAGCAAACTCTACTGCCCCAGTTTGAAACACAAACTCTCAGTTTTAAACGTGTAGCCTAAAGCTAAGATAAACAGCATGAAATCACTATGACATAATTGGGGTAATTTCCTGTTCCCTCATTTTTGTTCGCAGTTTCATGTATTTTTAGTACACATAAAAGCCAGCAGAGGGCGGCTGATACCAAGATGTTGCTACACTGAGTGCCTTGGCACATAAATGACAGTTTTTGACTGTGAATGTGGCTCTTGATTAACAAAATCAAATCAAAATCAAATAAGACAACAATTGGAAATGTGTATAAGTAAACACAATACTATATTTATTAGTATCGGTGAAAGAGGTATCAGATATAGCAAATGGCAACAATACATTGTAAACATACTAAGTTACAAGTAGTCCTGCATACAATATGGTATTTGAGTGAAAGAATAGTATGAGCATCAACACATACTTTAAATACCAAAAAGTAAAAGGTTCTCAATATGTATTTTGGCCGATTTCAGATTCAAATTAATTACATTTGTGTACTATTTATTGATACATTAAATAGTCTGTTTTCATCCCTTTTAATGTTGCAGATGATAAAAGTGTGGTTTATTTGAATTACTTTATATTCTGCTGGGCAGCTTAAACTATGATAATATATCATAATTTACTAGTTGAATTATATTTTGTATAAATAACAAAGTAGCTAGTAACTAAAGATGTAATATAAATGTTAAATCATTACCAAAGTACAGTACTGAAGTAAATTCACTTAGTAACATTTCACCATCGTTTATAAGGCCAGGGTCAAATGTTTGAGAAGCACTTGTTCTACTGTCACACGTCTACATTAACAATTCAAATGTTTTCTTGAGTCATCTTACTTCCACTCAACATGACTCAGCTGTCACTGCCAACAATACTTCCCCCCCAGACAATATGATCTTAATCTGTTGCATTTAGTAAAGCAGTTGTGTCGAGCCCTTCTATGCTAATGTTTTTAAAGTAATAACATATGGTATTACAATTGAAATACCATAATAGTAAGTGGATGTATGATCTTTGAATGTCTATTATATTCATCTATGCAATATTGAACCAGCAGCTACAACTTTGGACTGTATTAAACAAAAAAGTATTTACTAGCAGTCCAACTTCTGAATTAACAGAACATAATTTATCCCTGCTTGCAAACAAGTGTGTGCATTGAATATACTCTTACACACACACACACACACACACACACACACACACACACACACACACACACACACACACACACACACACACACACACACACACACACACACACACACACACACACACACACACACACACACACACACACGCACACCCTACCCCTACACACTCCCCCTCCGTGACGGAGTGAACTTCGTGTCGGAGTGACACTCGCAGCTCAACGAGGCTCCCTCCTGTCAGATGGAGGGAGTAAATACAGCGGCAAGCTTTGGGACAAACTCCCCTCTCTCCGGCAGAAACAGGAAATGCCGTAACTGTGTGTAACATCGTTTTCAAATCAGCATCTCTTAAGGCCCTGACACACCAAGCAGTCACCAGAGGACTCGCCGACGCCGACGCCGGCTGTTGCGTCGCCGTGTTCTCCTGCGTCTTGGCCATGTGTCGCACGGGAACACACCGCAAAGACTTCAGTGCGTGAGTGGCAATAACTCTCCTTACCAGCAGGCGGCGGTAGTGTGTATTCGTCATGCAAAAGAGGCAACAACCGGAAGACAGACTGCGTGATAACCGAGAGAAGAAGAACAGACTGCCTTGAATATAAACAAAACTCTCGTCCATCGAAACATGTTTCGTGCGGCACTGGAGCTAGATTTGGGTTCTGCCCGCTCTGTATTAATGTCATGTGGATTTTCCTGTCATGTTGACAGGTTATCAACATGTAGGCGTTGATAAAAGCTCATTCTAATGTTGTGTTGTGTGTATGAAGGTACAAATAAAGTTTTGCATTGCCTATCGTGCTATTTGTGTTTATTCTTTTAATCACACAGCGATAAGACACAATAACAATGTGCCTACATAACTGTCAGTTGCAGCCCTAGCATTAGTATTGGTTATTGGTTATAGTAACAGCTACAACATTAAAATACTTATAGGCAGATTGAGGAGGATAATGGGAGAATGAACAGAGGGGCAGAAACATCCATCTGAATAATAATAACTTTATTTGTATAGCACCTTTCATACAGGGGATTGCAGTTCAAAGTGCTTTACATCAGTAAGAAATAAGATATCAAATCAGTGTAAAACAAGCAACAAGAGCAAAACATAAAGTGGGATAAAATAATGCAGATATAGATATAGATATAGATATATAGTAATCCCAACAGGCCACCTTGTTTATGGTTTGATTCAGATTTAGTAGAATATAAAATACATGAATGAATGATGAAATGAGCACTTAAAGTGCAGACATACTATAATTATATTGAGGTACTTGAGACTAATCCCGCAACTTTATAGTTCTGCTCCAGTTCGAGAATGACGAAACTATCACGTATGAAAGGCTACATGTGAATAGAGGGGCAGAAAACCGGCTTGCACATTTACATCATGCACTGATTCGCTAGCTGAACAGCCAATCCGAGTGATTGCTTGGTCTGACTGCCCGACGCGATGGATGGCCGATTCAACATGTTGAATCGGCCATGCATCGGGTCAGGCAGTCCAAATAAGGCGTGTCACGGCCGACGGTGCGGGACACACCAAATTGAGTTTGTGCGACAGAACACGCTTCGTCTTCCGACGAAAGAAAATGGCCGAAATCGGCCTGGTGTGTCAGGGCCTTTAGACAAAAAATTCAAAATGAATAACTAAAATAAAACTCCAAACATCTTTAATAACAACTTTTTTGTAAAGCTCTTTTAGTTTTAAACCTGATGTTTATAAGCTTCTTAGTTTTTGCAACAGTCTGTAAATATACACAACTTTATAATAAAATGCACACATTTACCTTTTTCTAGACTAAACACAGGTATGATCCTAAGTTAAAAAAAAGATGAGGTTATCATGAGGTTGTTAACATCGTAGTTTATCAGTGGATGTTTGCTGGAACTGTTTGTAAACAGCGTGTTTCCTGACGGACACACACAGCGTTGAGTCCGGTCAGGTAGTGACCGGTTTCAAGCCAGAACTCAGCACCGATGCAGACTCGCTAAACACTGACCCTGTTGTGGAGAGACTCTTTGTAAAGAATAAAAAGAGCCTAGCCCTAACCCTGCACAATAACCCTAACCCAAACCCTTTTTTAGTTAAATCCGATGATCATTACCAAGTCTGTAATTTTCTCCCAATGCCGAGGGTGATTCGTTGAGCTTACCTTGAGCATGAAGCAGAAGTCGGTGGGAGCTCTGTATTTCAGTTTGAAGTGCTTGGTGTTATAGATGTTGAATTTTTCAAAATGGACAAAGCAGACAAGATCGCTTGAAGACTATCGGAAAGAGAAAAGAAAAAGCTAATATTCAGAATGTCAGGTACAAATCTTAAAATGACGAAAGAAATTACAGTTTGGATTTACGTACATGCGTTTTAAATGTGTACAAGATATGGTAATCAACTTTCAAGATCTTTTACCATTAAAAAGCTGCCAATCAGTTTTAAGATGTAGCATAATGAGGAGTTCCATTTCTTGTCATCATTTTGTGAAGAAGTACAGCTACAGCCTCGTTGTGTGGTTGGTATTACAAATAAAGACACTTCAAAGAAGTGGAGGGCCAATAGTTTTTCTTTCATTTTCAAGGGAGGCAACAATGAAGCTTCAAGTCAAGGGACACATTTGTTTTTTCTTTTGTGAAGAAGTTCAACTTTCCTTCCCTGTTTTGGTTTTGAGCAGAGATATTGTGTTCACACAATAAACATCACTGACAAAGGTGCTGTTTTTCGGGAATCTACAAAGGGAAGCTTCAAGGAAAAGGAAGTAACCCGCAGACCTCTGGCTTCTGTTTTCTTTATCTCTCATGTTCCTTCTCACTTTATCTGGCACCTTTGTCCATTTGTCTTCTTCCATTAGCCAACACTTCCTGCTTTATGACCAAAGCTCCATCCCCCTCTTCTTCGTAATATGACAGTAGCTTTTGTGTACAGTCTTCTCGTTCTGCTGATGATTTTTACTCTGCCTTATTCGGCCATTTATGTCCTTTCCAAATATTCACCTTCTTCCTCCATGTGGCCTTGGCGTTGGATGATCGCTGCAGCGATTTGCACATCTGCTTAGCACAGTTTTCCCTCTTGGATGGTTATTCAGATTTTTTTTAATTTTTCAGCCCTCACTCACATGCTGCTCTTCAACAGCAGCTTGGCCTCAATTCACACTGTCCATCTTCATTTCTCGCTCTTTCTGCCTCTGCTACGCTTGAGCACTCAGATGTAAGCTATCATAGACTTCACACAGGGGAAAAACGTATCTTGTCTCTCTCTGTTTAAAGACTGCTGCTGTACTTTTCTAGCTAAGAATAGTTAGGCTCTTTACTGCCTGGTGCCAAAAATGACCTAACCAAATGAGTAATAACCAGTTTTACTGGCATGGCAACAGCCCACTAAAAGGCTTTGTGTGTAGGAGGAGGTTTCAACCACACAGGTTGCTAAATAGCTCATCTCTAACCTACCTGTTCTCTCTTGAGCAACAACACATTGGTGTCAACAGTGCAATATGAACATGCCTGTATTTAAATGTAAAATATGATGTAGAATTCTTTAAATGCTCAAACATTTTTATTTGTTTAGCCATACCTTTGTCTTTCCCTTGGGTACATAGTAGATGCCTGAGGCCCTGAGCACAAAGTAGCGAGGTTTCCAAACCTTTTTCGCATCTTCTTTGAGGTACAGGGTACCTTCAAGATCAGGAACAATCAGAGTGGAACCTCCAAAGTGCTCCTGCGGGGTCCCGGAATAGAGAAGAACATTAGTAGGTAAGTGTGAGGTAAAGCTGCGTGTAATGTGCTTAACATGACCAGCAATTTTTCTTCAGATAGACCTCAAAGGAAGCATATATAGTGAAAAAGGGGGCCTGATATGGAGCCTTGTGGAACTCCAAAGAAAACGGGTGCAGAAGAAAAGGACACACATTTAAATTCTAACAAAGGTTAATTTGTCTTGTAGTGTTAGAGTTCAAGGGCAGTCTTAGTGGGTAGAGTAATTGACTGTGTCAAAGGCAGTAGAGAAAACTAATTGAAACTGTGTGACTTCTTGAGTCCAAAGATAAGAACAATCATTTTTTCACTCTCGGGAGAACAGACTCAGCGCTACGGTGACTTAAATTGTTCCAATGCACTTCATCCAGAATGTTGGATATTATTAATGTTCATTATTAAGAACAGGCGGATCAGGTTGGGTTTTATGACAGCTCGTTTAAAGCAAGATGGGACGTATAAAAAATGACCATTGAGTTATTTATTATTGATAAATTATATCAACTAGGTCCAAAACCTGTAAAAGTTTTATGAATTTCAACTTTCTCTCGTTTTGTGAAATGACACACATCAACTTGACATATAGTCTCATTAATAAGATGTGAGCATGGTACTGTAACTGACCTGAAGTAAGAGCTGTTTGGCTTGCTCATTAATTTTGCTCGAACATTCTTTCTTCTTTTTCCACATGTAAAATACCTTCAGGGGGAGAAAAGCACGGTTCATTATACCAACTAAGCAGAAGACAGTTTAATAACATTTTTGAAAAGGCAAGAGCACTCTTACTCACTTGAGGGTTTGTGAACATCACATACTTCTGAGGTCTTGAGACAAAGTACATTTTGTTTTCACTGAGACGAGTCCACGAAGACAGGGGCTCCACTATGTGTTCGTGGTCTTCAAAGCCTCTTTCTGAAATGTTGAAAACACATGTATATCCTGCCTCTGTGGAGATTATTTTTGGCATTGGTGTGTCTGTGTGTGTTCTTGTTCATCTCACCAATCTGCAGTTCAGGGTTGGTCTCACACAGGCTCCAGTCAATGCTGCAGTCGCAGTGTGTCTTCTCAAACAGCATGTCCAAAACCTCTCGGACTGTCTGTCTCTCATCCACCATCAGTATTTTGGAGCTGCCGTCACTCATCAGCACTTTTACTATTAACTAGGACAGGCAGCAAACTAAGTACATGTGTCTATCTGACTGAAAAGTGACTTAATACATAAACAGACCTGATCATTTTACCTTTCTCACTTTGGCTTCTTTCAGCTTTTCCAGTGCCAGTTTAATTTTGTCTGACTTTGTCTGTGGTTCGCTCTGGAAGCATAAAAAGAGGAGGTTATCAGTTGTCCTTTATTCCTTGAAATTACAACTTTGTTTTTCACAAGCCGTGACTGATTCTATAGTTACCGTTTGCAGCCCTCCAGAGGATTCAGCAGAGTTTGAAGGTGGAGGAAGGGCAGATGCTGCCATTTCATTATCTGCACAGTTGCCGGCCTGTTGATATGTGGGGAGGCTACATTCTGAGGTGGTTGATCTTGATGCTAGGTCAGCCATCAGAGCATCCAGGTCATGGTCCTCCAGTTCTTTAAGAGACTCTGTAAGGAGATAAGGAGTTGTGGCCTAAAGGTCAGAGAAGTAAAGGTGCCAGTCAAACTTCCCTTCCTGGTAACCTCACACTGATAACAAAACCTCCGTAGCCAAGCTAGCTGTCACGATCTTAGTTTTATGTCACGGTTTTAGTTTGGTCTGTCTTGTCATGGTTTTATTTTGCAATTCTTTTCTCCCTGTGTCTTGTCTTCCTCCCTGTCGTTAGTTTCCCTGGTGTGTCTGATTGTGTTCACCTGTTGCCCCGGCTGTTTCTCGTCTCGTGATTGCCCCTCCCTGTATTTAGTCTGTTCTCTTCCTGTGTTCGGTGTTGGTTCATTATTTGTCGTTCATGTCTCCCTTCATGTTGGTCACAGTCACCTTTTGTTTGGATGCTACCTCGTACCTGTTCACGGATTCTTGTTTTACCTCGTACCTGTTCATGGATTCTTGTTTTACCTCGTACCTGTTCATGGATTCTTATTTTTTCAGCTTTTGTAAATAAAGCTCGCCTTTTGTTTCCTTTTGAAACCTGCTTCCTCCTCAATCTGCAATTGGGTCCTATTTTTCCCCAACCCTGACAGAATGAACCAACCACAAATGGACCCAGCAGATGAAGTAGAATTACAACATGATACTTTTTATTTGGCTTGCTGCTTTGATTGGTGGAAGGGAGCGTTCAGTGTTTGGCAGAAGAGGGCCGCTCTGGTAGAGGCGCACCGGTTGGCAACAGAGAAAACATGGTTGTTGAAGTTTTTACCTGGCTGGATTGTGGACTTCCTCCAGACATGTGATTCCCGGCCTGCTAGCTCCAGGCATGCTAGCCCCCTGCCACCCAATTCCCAACCTGACACCATAATTCTTGTGTGTTCCGTCTGGAGTCAACCCCTGCTTCTTCCCCTTTTCCTGCTCCTGTCCAGGAGCCGTTCTCGGGTACTCGTCTGGCTTTTGGAGGTCCACTGAGCCTCCAAAAGGCTCCTAAGAGAAGGAGTCGCAAGTCCAGGCTAGCAGCCCGAGCCCCAGAAGCCATGCTTTGGGCTCCAGTACAGGCCCCAGAAGCCATGGTTCCGGCTCCAGAACCGGCCCACACAGCCATGGTTCCAGCCCCAGTTCTGGCCCCAGCAGCCATGGTTCTGGCCCCAGCAGTCATGGTTCCGGCTCCAGAACCGGCCCACAAAGCCATGGATCCGTGCACCAGTACCGGCCCACACAGCCATGCTTCCGTGCTCCATTACCTGGCTTACACAGAGCCAGGTTCCAGGCTTCTGTTCCGTGCCCAACAGCCATGGTTCCGGCTCCAGAACCGGCCCCAGCAGCCATGGTTTCGGCTCCAGCACTGGCCCTCCGGCCGACGCCAGCTCCCCGTGTCCTGTCGGCGTACCGGCCGACTCCAGCTCCTCGCCTCCCATTGGCTCTCCGGCCGACGCCAGCTCTCCGTGTCCTGTCGGCGTACCGGCCGACGCCAGCTCCCCGTGTCCTGTCGGCATTACGGCCGACTCCAGCCCCCCGTGTTCTGTCGGCGAACCGACCCTCTCGGGTCCCCTTTCGAGTCCCCTCTCGAGTCCCCTCTCGAGTCCCCTCTCGAGTCCCCTCTCGAGTTTCCTACTCAAGTCCCTTCTCTAGTCCCTACTCAAGTCCCTACTAAAGTGCCGTTGGAGGTTCCGCTGGGGGTCCTGCCAACTCCATGTCCTGTCCCGTTGGGGGTCCCGCCGACTACTCTTCTGCCGGGGGTCCTGCCAACCCTATGTCCTGTGCCGTTGGGGGTCCCGCCTACTACTCTCCTGCCGGGGGTCCTGCCAACCCCATGTCCTGTGCCGCTGGGGGTCCCGCCGACAACTCTCCTGCCGGGGGTCCTGCCAACCCCATGTCCTGTTCCGTTGGAGGTCCCGCCGTCACCTGTCTCGCCGGGGGTCCTGCCAACTCCTTGTCCTCTTTCGTGGGGAATCCTGCCGACACCTGACCCGCCGCGGGTCCTGCCTACTCCTTGCCCTGTTGCGTTGGTGGTCCAATCAACACCAGCCCTTGCTCCATCCGGGGTCCCATTGACACCAGCCCATGTCATGTCCAGGATCCCGTCTACGCCTGTCCCACCGACACCGGGTCCTGCCCGGCCTCCGGAGCTGTCCGGTCTTTGGCCTCGAGCCCGGCCCCCTGAGAGCGACGGTCTTCGCCCTCGAGCCCGGCCCCCTGAGTTCGCCCGATGTGGCCCTCGCCCCTTTATGAACTCTGCCTTGCCCCCGGGCCGTCCACCCGAGACCCCCACAATGAGCTCTGCCTTACCCCCAGGCCGTCCACCCGAGACCCCTTCCTGGTCCTCTGCCATGCCCCTGGGCTGTCAGCCCAAACCCGTCCTCCAGACCCCCTCCACCCACCCTTTTGGCCCTAGTGGCTGCTAAACCCTTGTTACTGTTACAAGGTATGTATTTTGTAAATTGTGTAACTTGCTGCTGTTAAATACCGTCAAACTATGTGCTTTATGTGCAATATATACATATGCAATCTGTAATAACTGTAATATATACCGGGATGCTCAATCCTAAGAACTGCTACAGGATTTGATTTGTAGATTTGATTTGTTTTGGATCTGTATTTTTGAAAATGATGTAACCTTTTATCTTTTTTAGCATATTGTTTATTATTTTATAACTTAGTACTTTTTTAGCATATTGTTGTGGTGTTTGTTTATATTATAACTTAGTACTTTTTTTTAACGCATGTAAGATATGCAACACTAAGCTGTCTGTGGCTCTTTCCTGCTGTAACGCTGCAAATTTCCCCTCTGTGGGACTAATAAAGGTATTCTGATTCTGATCATGAGCCTAGAGCTCTGCAGTGGGACGCTATTGAATCTATTTCTTAGTCCTATCAACAGATTTTTGGCATTTATACAGCTGTGCCACAGCCATCCAATTGTCCTGCCATGTTGGTTACGTTACATTGCGTTATGTTATATTGCGTTATGTTACATTACGATATTCTACGTTATGTTAGGTTATATTATGTCATGAGCCTAAAGCTCTGCAGTGGGACGCTATTGAATCTATTTGTATTTCTTAGTCCTAACAACAGATTGTTGGCATCCTCCTTTATTTCCCAAACTGATTTATCTCCACTTTTATCCACCCTAGTCTTCAGAGGTTGGCGTGATCTTCTGGCACAAGAAAAAACAGACTCTCCCCATCTCCTAACAGAAACATAACATCTTGAAAGACTGCCTTACCTCCCCCACTTGCATCCTTTCTACATCACACATATTTTCAGGGCAGTGTGACTCTTGGTTATGTAACACAGTTGAACATCTACAGTTCTTGCTTTGAAAGAGAGCATTGTCATTTGAATGAGCATTTACCATTCAGGTCTGTGAAGCCAATGGAGAAGGTGCGCTCTGTCTGTAAAGCGCTGTCCACTTCAGTTCTGTCCGCTGATGCCATTAAACTCTGCAACAAAGCAATGAGATAATACATTAACAAAATCTCACACCGTATGACCTTTGTATATTGTACAGCAAATAAGCATTATTGCATCAAATGTTTCAAAATACATTTTACACAGAAGTCATTTGTATGACAGAAGCTTTTTATTTCAAATCAAAGAGCTGCCAAAATGGGCCATATGTGTCCTTGAACTGCTCTGAACTGTTGTTGGAAGAGGTTACATGAGCCTGTTTTGTATCAGTTGTTTCCCTGTTTTTAATGCTCTGTTTTCAAGTTGGACAATTAATAGGGAAAATACCGTACTTGGCTTCCGCAAAGACATAAATAACACTTCAGTAAGAAAAACTTATTTGTCAAGTGTGATGTTGCAAATTGTCTGTTCTCTTTTTTTGGAACAAGCTGTACATCCGGTGCATACATTGCACACTGGTGTCTCTATTAAAGAGCTTGAATACCATTGGAAGAATGGCCGATATCGAGACTGCAATGTCTTAATTATTAACAGAAGTCTCTACAGGCTCAATCATATTATTTAAACAGGCTGGGATAACTGCCAACCTGTACACAAAATGATTGCTGCCAGCATGCAGTTCAACCCGGATCATTTCTGTCTGAACACACAACAAACTCTCCTTTTTGTCTTCTGGTTTCAAGGCGAGGAGTGGAATCACTTTAAATGCTTTTGTTTCTCAGACTCTGAGAGGATCAAGGCTTTAACCAAAATGCTTTTCTTGCTAACACTGGTTATAGTCTGTTGGATGATGTTTTTCACTGTGGTGGCTTTTCAAGAAGGCGCATGCGAAAGTGACATATAGAGCGCTTTTCTGGCTGATGTAATGGTCCCATTCTCAGGGTCGCAGCTTACATAAAGAGATTTGAAAGGGCAAAAAATGGATTGAACCTCAAGCTGAGGTTGCATCAGTTGGAAGTATGTCATGTTTTGCTTGGTGAGCCGTAGTCATATGATGAGCAGATTATGTGTGCTTAAGGAAATCTGCAGCGATAGCCCACGTCCAATCCAGATGCGATGACTTCACGTCTCAGTCTCTCCTTACATTTTTTCCGCTCAGAAGCTTCAGTTTCACCACAGAGACTGCCATGTGTAATCAGATAATGCACAGATTAGCGAAGTAAACATCGAGTGATTTGTCTAATTTACTTCTAGTAACCTGTTCCTACTTCAAAAGCACTGATGGAGCAGTCCTCCAGAATGTGAGAGTCTCAGCTCATCTGGTCATGTTTTGAGAAAGAATGCGACCAAAGATATTTGACATCAGCTGTTGTTCCTTATAACTCCAGATGAACTGATGCATGATGCGAAACTCATGGATGATTCGTACAAACTTTCAAACAGACGTGTCATGGTTCTCAGAGAAAGAATCTTAATGACTCTGATGAGCCCTTTTCTTTTTTTCCTAGCACCACAGTTTATAGCTAGTGGCAACCTCTGTGTCTGAAAAGTAAAGACAATTCGGAGGTGCCTTAAACCTGAATTATCTCTTATATCCATTTCCTATCTACAGTCTATGGTTTTGAGTGAAATATCTCAAAAACTCTCGTGGATTGTTAAACATTTTATGATCCCTTCACTTTTCATAGCGCCACCTTGTTCCTGTCTAATTACCTATTTAATTACATAAGTGGCCCATATGTGTAACATGGTTGCTTAACAAACAGCATTAATGGTGGATTCAACATTCCTTTGTAAATTGCATTTTACGTAACATAACAATTGTTTGTGGACACTGTTTTCACCCCACAGCATTTTTTATATAAGGATTAATCTTATAGCAATCTTATGTACAACTCACCTGAGAGAGAGTATTCATCTCTCCAAGCAGGTCAGTAAACATGGCGTCTATGTCGTCCATCTGAGAAGGGAGAAGAAGACATTTAGCAGGAATACAAACACAATGAGGACAGTTTATTATGGCAGACCACACCAGCAGGAACTGAAAAATGTGGGATATTTTCAGTTCTCTTTGATTCAGTTTCTAGCGGCGCCAGTTCTTGAATGGATTGTCGTGCAGCAACTGGAAAACTTGGTATATAAACTTTATTGAAATGCTTGCGTAAGGCCACCAACATCTCCATAACAACATTTTTGCGGTAGACAAACAAACACTTTTGGACACATGCATGCTCAAGCACAAATACAGTTTGGATGTGTCTGTCACAGCTCTAAAAACCAATGAACAATATGCAAAAAACAGCTTAATCCCTCCATGTAAAGAGCCCGGAAATGTGATATTTGTTCTCCGTCACAAGCACTGCAATGTGATGCCATTGCCATTTCCAAAAAAAGTCACAGTGTGAGTGTGTGCGTGAGCTGGTTAAAATGGTTTCCATGTTTCTCTGGCTGTGCTGTCTGAACATGTTGTTTTTATCGCCGTCTAGCAAAAACCGATGAATCTCGCCTTCAATAATCTCTTGAGCAAAGAGATTGTTGAATACAGTGCTATATTCGCGAAAATATGTACCAACGGGAGAAAACGAACCCCCCTAAACATGATTCCAAACCATCTCTGTAGTATTTGGGTGTATTTGATCTTAAATTAAAAGATGAGTATCACAAACAAATATGGGTGGAAGCTCAAATATAAATAAATCACACTTTTTGAATTAATAATTGAAGAATTAAAAAAAGAGGGGCTTTTTTAAAGATCAAAGATGTTCTCTAACCAATACAAAGGAGAACCCAGCGTCTGGGTTTGTCCATATGGAGACGGCACTTCGCCAGCTTTAGGGTCAAAAATACATTGTGCATGTGGAGTGGCTTAAAAAGCTAACCGAAGAATGAGCTCAGTGTTTCTTGCCAACCCTTTGAGACTGTTGCTATGCACAGGTATCAATACCAATAGATACATGATAAAGCCACAGCAACATACATAGAAACAAGAAACCTTGCATACAAACAAAGGAAACAACTAACTTAGAGGCTGTATTAAGGTTTACATACAGCTTTGCTCAACTGCTTCTTATCGGTATGTTAGCTTCTCACTTAACATTTTAGAGGTGTTTTGTGGACATGGTCCTACAATAAGCATAATAACTGGAAGCACATGATTGTACTTTTAAACAGATATTATGTTCTTTGTTTGCATTGTTTTCATGTCTTTATACTTGTGAATCATGTATGTAGACATGTGTAATGCAAGTTCTGCTTGTATGGTACCACTTGATAGAACTTGCATCTGTGACACATTTGGTTTTCACATTTGTATCCCTGTATCTCATTAAGTTGTTTTGTTATATTCCTTAAGTCTGTAATTCATTAACCACGGTCTACTTGTGTTCGGTTCTTGCTCAGTGGGTGCTGGAAAAGGATCCAACTCCATGTGACCAAAATTAAAACTAAATACATAGCAGGCGTGTTAAGTTCAGTGAAGCCAATTAACCTAAAACTAAGAATGGTTGTTTTTCCGTGGGCTTAGAGGAGATTTTCACATTTTCCCTGGAATGACAAAGTTGCTTTTGTACTCGTTGCCTTCATTGGTAGGATGAGTTGGGTGAGATTGGTTAGGGTTAGACAATGGGAAGTTGTGTCGTTGTTATCCTACCACATCCACATAGGGAGCATGTATTTTACTACTATTTTGGACCTCCATGTTTTCACAGTAGCCAAGAACAACAAACCAAACACTGATTCTAGAGGGTTAGGGTTAGGCCTTTTCTCTTTTTAGGTTACTTGAAGGTGAACTCAGTATCTTTGTTTTTTTTTCTTCAAATTTCCAATATTTCCTCTCCTTATAGCTCTGTTTTGAATTGTTCCGCTGTAAAAATATAATATTAACTACTGCTGCTCTATTCTTGAGCTCATTTAAATCATTCAAATGAATGATCACTAAATGAAAGATACATGGTTTTGACTGGGGAGAAAGGGTATAAAAAGTTACATTTAAAAATTGAAGCAATCTTACAGTTATGGTGTAGTCAAAAGTACAAAATCTGCCTATTGTAGTATAGATGGATATATCAGCTCAGAAAGAGTGAATACATTCTCAGAAGTGAAATTCTAAATATGCGCCGGGCCGAGTAGACATCTGTTTGGCATTGTTTAACTTTACACTGATATATTTTACACATTAAAGCTGCAGGCCGAGGTATGCAAAGTGCATATTCTGGCCTGTATACGTTAAGTCATCTGTTGTGTGACGTATATCAATCCAGAGGCTCTGTCCGGGTCTTTATCGCTTTAAGTACCACTTGTTCTTCTTTATATAGGTATACATATGCAGACTAATGTGCATACACAGAAACAGAAATACATACAGTGCGGCTCAGTCTCATTCTGTGTTTATGTAAAACGGTAAACATAGCCTCCATTAAACTGTAATGAGGTAAAGGGGAAGTGGTAGGGCTAAGTATTACTTCCATATGAAAGTGACATTTGTTAATGTGAACTTTACCTTTGTTGCCTCTCAGGTCTTCTACCACATATTTGAAGGTCAACTTCTATAACTTCTTTCTCATTCTTATGCATACCTATTTAATGACTTATGACCCCAAGCATTTGCCCATCGAAGAAAGCGTTACAAAACCACATTTGTTTATGAATACCATGCTCTCATAGGCCATGTCACATTGTTGCTGCCGTCTCCCACTGTGGTCTCACACATCAACAAATGGAGGAGACGCCAGCAGACAGGCAGGCAAACAGGCGGAGGGACCAAAGCCTGAGTACAAAAGGCTATTTATTAAGACTTATATGCATGAAAGTAATCAGAAAGCATTTCCTGCTAACAGTTAACCAACATTTATGGTATTTTCCTGTGGTTGACAGCTTCTAACTGTTTTCTAATTAGTTGCATAACTGTCCATTGGCGTCTGTGGGGAGACATGTGTTTGTCCTCAACAAAGCTGATTTTGCAACCAATGATTACTTTCATTAATCTGATGTTTTATTTCACAAATATTTGATAAAGCGACTTATATTGGTTTATCAAAAATGTTGGATAGGGGCGCCGTAAAGCTCAATTTGTAGAGCTCGCGGCTATTGGGAGGAACAGGGTTCAAATCTAGCCTGGCACCATTTGCCACATGTCATTCCCTATGTTTCCCTTTTTCAGTTCTGCCTCTCTGGTTGCCCCAAAAAATCTTTACAAAAAAACTAAACTCTGGAAAATGTCCATCCTAGTCTCTCAAACTCCAAGGTAATGTCTTGTTTTGTCAGTCCCAAACCCCAAAATATTATAATATAAAACAAAAAAGCAGCACATTTGAGAGGCTGATAAAGTATTTTCTTTTTTGAACCAAAATGTATGGATCATCAAAGTAGATTATTTTTCTGTCAATCGACCAATGGATAGGTAAATATGGTTGCAGGTTTTTAAGTTATTGTTCTAGATTCAGCATTAGCATATTAGTATTTAATTATTTTACTATGTAGACCCCCACAAAGAAAAACATTCACTTTAATTTAAAGTTCTTACCTTTTCTGTCTCTTTCACACTTAGGAGCATCATGGAGTGTCTTAGTTGACTTAACAGTCAGGGGTCAGTCTATAGGTAACCACATGATCACGTGACGACACATGCACTGCCTCTACAGATATTAGCGTAACTTCCGGTTAAATAAGGAAGGAGGCTAATTTGCATTTCTGGTGAAGCAGAGTGAGGTTTACTTTTCTAATTATATTCCTGCACATATATGGTACTGACCATGATCTTCTTGCCTCTTCACTTGTTTTCTCAGAGCCCTACACCGTGATGGTAGAGTTGTGGCATTATTGATTTACATGTTTCCTTTCATCTTTTTGCACGTGTCTGAAGGGGAAGTATGACACGTCTGTGTGAAGTTCAGGGAGTTTGGTGATATCAGCAAATATTGGTCTTTTTAAGGTCAGAGGCTCAACACTTTTTTATATGTCTGAGCTTTTTACATTTTTTTTAATATAAAACTTTTTTATCTCCTACATTATACTGCTCTTTTAATGTTATAAGTCCCTTTGCATTGCAATGTTATTGTAAGGCGCTATAATAATAAACCAGCCTTGGCTTAATGAGCTCTTATCAATCAGCTTAACAGGAAACACCTGTGTGAGTTACCATGGTTGACGTGAGGTAATGCAGCATGTAGTGGCCTTCTGAAAAACAACATTGGGTGATATTTTAAAGGGCCATACGTATAAAGTATATTTATACGTTTTCTTTTTCAAAATACCAAACAGATCATGCATTTTAGCCATGCCTCATTTCGCTCTATTTTGCTCTCCTCCACCCCTGTCTTTGCATGCGCTGCAGCTGACCACGCCCCCCTGCAAAGGAGGGGGCAGAGTTACGAACATCATGTTACCATGCTGTTACCATGCCACGGCAAACTTTCATTCCCCTGATAGGTGGAGAGTTGGCCATATAGGCGGAGCTCCTCGTCACTGACGTCAGACTATTTTCAAATCTGTATCAGATCCGTTAAAGCCCCGTTTTTACAGATTTTGGGTATGGAGGAAAAGAGAGAGGGTTGTGTTTTCTGACACTTGATGAGTTCCCTGACACACCGTGGACACATATTCATGTATAAAAGACGTACAAAGGTGCATTTTGCATGATAGGTCCCCTTTGACTTACTACTTGCATATTGTCAATATCGAAGCCCCCCAAAGTCATTTATAACAGCAAGCGTAGTTATAAAAGTTATTGTGATTCAAAAAAATCAATCGATATTCAAGTCAAGTCTATATTTTCTAAT